GGCATGCAACTGATGCTTGTCCAACCCTTCAAAATCCTGAAGTCAACGCTGTTTTTTACAACAACCAACAAAGAAAATATGATCCATACTCAAATTCTTATAATGAGGGCTGGAAGGATCATCCAAATCTCAGATATGGTCCTCCTCAAAACAATAATCAAAATTTTAATCAAGCAAATAGGGGAAATCTGAATTTAAATCATCAACCTAGCCAAGATAGAAGTGCCCAGATGTTTGAACAAATTCTTAAGAAAATGGATGACAAGTTTTCAAGTTTCGATTCAACTCTTAAACAAGTTCAAGAAAAACAAACAGCTACTAATGTGATTATAAGCAACTTGCAGGCTCAAATGAATCAAAGAATCCCTTCTCAACCTTTTCCAAATCCAAAAGAAAACATAAGTGCTGTGGTTTTAAGGAATAAGAAACAATTGCCTGAACCTAAGGGTAGGGATAGGGTTGAGAGTGAGAAAGAAGTTCCTAAAGTTGTGAACCTTGAGTTAGATGAGGCTACTGACAGCAGTTCTCATGGGGCTGAAACAGTGGGAGAAACACCTGGGAATGATAACTCAGACCAAGGGGAAAGGGTAGAAGACATGGTCAGACCTAAAGCTCCCTTCCTGAGTAAGTTCCTTAGCCAAAAGTCTAGGAATAAAGCCTTAGATCAAGAACTTTTAGATACCTTTAAGAAGGTAGAGATCAATTTGCTCCTCTTAGAAGCCATCAAACAAGTGCCTAAGTATGCAAAATTCTTAAAAGAGCTGTGCACTAATAAGAAAAGACTTTCGGGGAATGAAAAAATCCAAATGAGTGAAAATGTTAGTACTGTTTTTCAAAATAAAATGCCTCAAAAATGCAAAGATCCTGGGGTTTTTTCTATTCCTTGTCAAATAGGGAGTCTTAAATTTGATAGGGCAATGCTTGATTTAGGTTCTTCTATAAATGTAATGCCAAAAGATGTCTTTGAACAACTACACATAGGAGATCTTAAGAGAATAGGAGTGGTAATCCAATTGGCAGATAGAAGTTACACTTATCCTGAAGGGATTTTGGAAGATGTTTTAGTCCAAGTGAATGATTTTGTTTTCCCAGCTGATTTCTATATTTTAGATATGGGAACTGATAAAACGGACATTCCCATTCTCTTGGGAAGACCATTTTCGAAAACTGCAAGAGCTAAAATTGATGTCCACTGTGGGACTTTAACAATGGAATTTGATGGAGAAATAATAAACTTTAATCTTTTTCAAGCAATGAAGTATCCAGATGAAGGTGACCATGTTTTTTCAATAAATCTGATTGACGAGTTAGTCGATCTAGTTTTTATTTTAAATAAGGAGGATGAACTTTTAACTGTTTTGACCGAGAGTTTTGATCCTATTTTTCTTCAAAATCATGGTTTTAATACTCCTAATGAGGTATATTTTTATGCTGAAAATCTTTCCACTTTTCAAGAAGTAAAATCAGCCTTACAACTCACTTTACCAATTAAAACCACCAAAACAGCTATTTCTTTAATTTCACCACCTGAATTGACTTTAAAAGAACTCCCAGATCATCTCAAATATGCTTTATTAGGCCCTAATAACACCCTGCCAGTGATAATTTCCAGTCTTTTAACTGAAGAACAAGAGTCAATGTTACTTGGGGTATTAAAAGAACATAGTGTAGCAATAGGATGGACTTTAGCTGACCTTAAGGGACTTGATCCTACTCTGTGCAGCCATAGAATCACCCTAGAACCTGATGCCAAGCCCAAAGTAGATGCCCAGAGAAGGTTGAACCCTCCTATGATGGAGGTAGTACAAAAAGAAATCCTTAAATGGATTGAGGCAGATGTCATTTACCCTATAGTTGATTCTGAGTGGGTGAGTCCAATACACGTAGTGCCTAAAAAGGGAGGAACAACAGTGGTAGTGAATGATCAAGGAGAATTAATTCCCACTAGAACACAAAGTGGTTGGAGAGTGCATAGATTATAGGAAACTTAATCAAGCCACTAAAGAAGATCACTTTCTCCTGCCCTTTCTTGACCAAATGGTTGAAAGATTGGCAGGAAAGTCACACTATTGTTTCCTCGATGGTTATTCAGGATACCTACAGGTACACATTGCCCACCAAGACCAAGATAATACTACTTTCACTTTCCCTTTTGGAACATATGCTTTTAAGAAAATGCCTTTTGGTTTATGCAATGCACCAGCAACATTTCAAAGATGCATGATGAGTATTTTCACTGAATTTTCTTCTAAAATCATGGAAGTTTTTATGGAAGACTTTACTGTATATGGAAATAGTTTTGAAGAATGCTTGCATAACCTAACTTTAGTTTTAAAAAGGTGCATTGAAGTTAATTTGGTGCTGAATTTTGAAAAATGTCACTTCATGGTTATGAAAGGGGTAGTACTAGGTCATGTGGTTTCTTCTGAAGGGATGGAGGTTGATCCAGCAAAAGTGGACATTATTAAAACACTTCCTTACCCCAAAAATCTGAAAGACATTAGATCTTTTTTAGGCCATGCTGGGTTCTATCGGAGGTTCATTAAAGATTTTTCCAAAATAGCTTTGCCTCTCACTGCTTTGCTTTCAAAAGACACCCCATTTGTTTTTGATGAGAAATGTAAACAATCTTTTGATCTTTTAAAAGAAAAACTCACTTCAGCCCCCATAATGCAGCCACCTAATTGGGCTTACCCCTTTGAATTAATGTGTGATGCAAGTGACTGGGCAGTTGGGGCTGTTTTGGGGCAAACATATGGGAACCAATCTCATGTGATTTCATATTCTAGTACTACACTTGACCCAGCCCAACGAAATTACACCACAACAGAGAAAGAAATGTATGCTGTAATCTTTGCTCTTGAGAAATATAGAATATACCTGTTAGGAGTTAAGATAACCATTTACACTGATCATTCAGCTTTGAAATACTTAATAAAGAAGCAACACA